TGCAACAGCCCGGGAGCCCCTCAAGCTGCATGCTGTGGTGAGCACCCAGTGACGGGGGCAGTCAGCTCTCCTCGGGGCCAGGGGTCGAGGAGCCAACTGCAAGCCAACAAGGCTGTGCCCCCTTCTCACCTTCCCCCGGCCGCCAGACCAAGCCACATCTCCTTGTGAGAGTGCTCTCACCTCTGTCCTGCGCTGCCTCTGTGCCTCACCTGCCTCAGAGCAGACACTCTCCAGCTCCCTTGCTCCACGCTGGGCCCAGACAAGCCCCAAGACTTGGGGCAGGGCCCACAAGTAGTCACCTTGGGACACTTCTGGGCAGGAGCCTGGAGGGACTCTGACAGCTCCATGGTACGTCAGGCAGCCCAAGGTGTCACAGGGAAGAGGCCCAAGGAGCAGGTGCCCTCACACTGAGGTGCACTGACCCCAAGGCCGTCGGGGCTCCGGCTAGCTCTGAGGGTCCCTGAGGTGTGCTATCGGGCCCCCCTGGCTTCTGATTTCTCTTTCCCAAAAGAAAGTGGAGGGAGAGGAGGAGGCTGCAGAGCACCTAAGGGTAGGAGGGAGGGAAGGAACCAGGGCGGCTCCACAGGATGAGGGTGGGTGGCGGGCCAGGCCCTGGGAATAGCGGGGCAGGGCCAGGGGTGGGGGCACAGGCAGGTGATGAGGCCCCCAGGCCAGCTCTGTCTCCTGCCAACTTGCTGAGTAGTCTCCATCAAGCCCCATCCCTCTCTGGCCTTTGCTAATCCCTGTACAGAGTCAACCTTGTGGGCTCGTGTGCCTTCCGAGGGGCAGGCGGACAGTGCCTTCGAGCACTTGCAGAGGGTGACTCGGGAACGTTGATGAGGAAGCAGGCAGGCAGGGCCGGGGTCGTATTCAGCACCCACGGCTGCCAGGTCCGAAGAGCTTTTCTACCCACCCCACTCCACAGGTTCAGGGCCTGGGCCCCACCTTTAAGCTCACACTTCACCTGCAGAACACCTCGACAGCCCGACCCGTCCTGGGGCTATTGGTCTGCTTCCTGTACAGTGAGGCACTCTACGCCCTGCCCCGGGCCTTCTTCAAGGTACTGGGCACTCCTCACTGAGGCGGGAGTGACGGGCCAGGGCGGGAGGTCAGATGCCCACAGAGCCCTAGCAGGTTGGTGAGGGAGCTGGCAGGGGGCCACAGCCACAGCAGGCTGGGGTATAGCAGGGGTCCCTGGGAAAGGCACCCAAGACCTGCCTCAGCTGTTCTTCTCCCAGCCTGTGAGAGGTCTCAGGGAGCCACACAGCAAGCTCTGGGATAACAGCCAGAGCCCAGGTCCAACCTGGGCTTCTCTCAGAGCCTGCTGGTGGTGGGTGGTTCCCGAGCCCATACTGCTTTACAGCCACCCCCGCAGCAGGAATGGATGCTTCTCTCTGTCCCAAGGAGAATCCTCCACAGAGTAAAGGACCTGGCTTTTGACCAGGTCCGGATTTGACCCTCATTTGGGAAGACTAGAAGCTGAGAATGATGCTGAGATGTGAAATAGCTGTGGACTTGGTTAGTGGTCAAGAGGTTTAGGTTTGCTCAGAGACATACGTGTGGCCCTGCGGCATTCACTGCCCCCTCTGAGCCCATGTTCTCCTCGAACAGGCCCATCATCCCTGCCTATGTCTGCTCACATTGAAATTCAGCTGCACGGGCAGACCTGCGAGTGCTTTGAACTCTGCCAAACCCTGTCTGGGCATAAGGGCCAATTTCCCTACATCTTTTTCCCAAAACTTAGGTCCCCTTGCTGGTGCCAGGGCTCAGCTACCCCCTGGAGACCTTTGTGGAGAGTCTCGGTGACAAGGGCATCTCAGACATTATCAAGGTAGGTCGCTTCTTGATACCGCTCGGGGAGGACAGTGGGAGTGAGTGTGGACAAGGCCCCCAGCTGGCTGCCGGGTCGGGGTGGGTATCTACACAGTAGTGGCCTCCCAGCCTCCCCATCTGCTTTGACAGAGCCCTGGCAAGCCTGTCTTTAGTGCCAGTGCAGATCATGCCAGGCCTGGTCTTGGCAGGGAGCAGGGGGTATTTCCCGTACGGCCATGGGCAACCTCCTCCACAGGTGCTGGTGCTTCGAGAAGGCCAGAGCGCACCTCTTCTGAGTGCCCACATCAATATGCCTGTGAGTGAGGGGCTGGCAGCAGCCTAACCCCTGGGCTGCTGTCAAAGCCCTATGGCATCAGGACCAGGGGATCCAGTCCCTTCCACTGAGCTGCACGGAGTCAGTGGCACACTCCCCACACAGCAGTGTGCTGGTGAGACAGCTTCCCTCTTCTCTCCCAAGTGCCCCCTTTCTCACCAACCTGATCACTGGGTGACCTACAGCAGCAGGTCGGGAGCACCAGCAAGTTCACTCCTTCCCTCTGGAAAGCAGACATGGGCCCAGCAGGGTCCTGCTGCTCCTCCGTCCTCCACACTTTCTCCCGAAGCCACACCCAGGTCCAGAGGAAGAGTTCTGAGGTGGTTAAGGTGAGATGAGGGGTGGAGGCCCAGCCATCTCCTTTGCCGCCTCCCTTAGGCACATCATTCATCTGCTGCTGCCAGTCCAGGCCAGAATCGGCTATGGCCGGCCTGGTACAGAGCTTTCTTGGGTGAGACTAAGTCCTCTATTGCTCCCTGGGGTTCCAGAAGCCTGGCTGCTGCCAGCTCAGCCTACAGGTAAAACACACTCTCTGATTTCCCCTTGTGAGCTGAGCAAGGGGCCCTTCTTTCTATTCAGAGGGCCCGGAGAATATAGCTGCCTCCCTACCAGGGGCTTTTCTGAAATGTTGGGCTCAGCGAAGGTCTCAGGCCTGTGATGCTCCACGAAGATTGTCAAGGGAGGAGCAGGAGCAGGAAGGAATCGTGGGCCCATGCAGGGAGCTGGTGGCCCCAGCCCCGCCAGCTGCTGACGGCCCCACGGGCTCCTGGGGCTGCCACTCCTGTCTGGGATGCTCATGCCCAGAAAGAGCACCCCAAGAGAGGAAGGCTCAGCTGGATGGCAGAGGTGGGGCCGGGGCACGCAGGGGGAGTGTTGCTGGAGCCCTTGGGAGATGGCACAGGAGGTGGAAGCCCAGAGCTGCTATTCAAGATGTTCTTTATACCCTGGAGCCCAGATAAGTCACGTGAGCAGAAAGTCCACTGGGAAGTAGCCACAGTAGGAGAGAATTAGCTCAAAGGACCAGAGGTGCTGAGTGAGGCTGGAGGCACATGTTTACACCGCAAGGGCCAGAGGCGCAGTCCAGCCCTCAGTGCACCCTGGAGCCCAGCCAGCCTGCCTGGCCCACCTCACATGTGTTGGGCCGGTGCGTCCAGGGCTGCCTTGAGCTACTTGTGAGCCAGGGACCCTGTTCCCTAAGGACTTGGATCTCCCCCTATCTGACGAGGTGCAGCCTAGTGTGGGGCAGACAGCTCAGGCTTGTGAAAGTAATTAAATCCTCCTGGGCTTCTGTTTCTCCATGTGGGAAGTGAGGCAGTTTGACCAGATGTGGCTGTACCCCTATGAGCCCGGCCGTCTGAAAACAAGGAGTCGGCTCCAGAAGCGGGGTTCTTGGCAGGAGTCACTCCAGAGCTTTGGCCCTTGAGAGGGAGGGTCTCAGGCTGACTGCTGCTGCCAGGCTACAGCCTTTCTGCCCAAGACAGTGAGGGACTGGGGTGACACGGCCCACAGCCCACCCGCATCCCTCTCAGCAATGCATTCTGGGACCAGGTTAGAGAAGGGGGGAATCTGGACTGGAGAAAGAGTCCATCCCCCTTGCCTCTGCACGGCCCAAACACTCTCACGCATAGGGCAGCTGAGGCAGGCTGGCGGGGGTTTCTAGATCAGGTCAGTGAGGCATAGTCCAAACAGGAGGTTTAACCTGGAAATGGGGAGATGGTTGGAATGTCGCTGTCAGTCACAGAGATTTTAGCTTAACCTGAAGAGCTTTTTCAGAGGTTTATCAGAGATGGAAGGGCTGGCCCTAGAAGGTGGTGAGCCTCTTGTCACTGGGGCTGTGTCATCACCCCACAGGGCTGAGTTGGGCCAGACGAACTTACAGCCCCTTTTACCCCAATCAAGTGGTGAACAGTGTGAACTCAGAACAAAACGTGTGATCTGCATTCCATTCATTGCTATTCACGATGATCTAACAGAGAAACTGTTCCTTTGCCCCGACCTACTGTGAATTTCTATGATGTAATACTATGTAGCTACTATTAAAGAGTACAGGAACTGCGCCTGGATAAATCTCAGGAAACAGTGAGTGAAAAGGCAAGTCACAGAAGAATAAACATGGTATGATCCCACTTACATAAAATTTAAAAACATGTGGACAAAGGGACGTAAGGCAGTATGAGCAAAACACTGCCTAGTACCTGGTGCCCTCAGCAGTTAGAGCTCCAGGAAAATGAGTACAGGGAGGAGAGCTGGTATCTTTAAAAAGTATTTCTCTAAAAACATGTACCTCCTTAGTACCATGGCAATAGTTTATAATAAGAAAACAGCCTGTCACCATTCCCCAGTACTACTCCCCTGCTACAGTCATTTTCACTATTTAAAAAATATGCTTATACTTGTTTATCAATCTTAGACAACATCTGTTGGCTCCCTATTGTGATAGACGAGACATTAGCCCTCTTGTGACAACACCCTGCCCTCTCTTTGTCTCCCCAGGTTTTTAGATAAATCGATACTCATTGTGTAGGTTATGATTTATAATATTATGTGAAAGCTGTCACTGCAGAGCCAAGAATCAGGCTATAATGAAATCACCTTTAAATTTTTCATGGAGTTAACAATTGCTGTGTTTTTGTTTTGTTTTGTTTTTGTTTTTTTAATTTGTGTAGTTTTCTGTGTATACCAGTTGCAAACTTTTTTCCCTCACCCAGTCTGGACACTTCCCTGAAGTGAATTCAGATGAATTTACAATTAAGTTTTAGGTTCACTGGACACAAAAATCTATTCTCATACCTATGTACAATACCATAATAATATCAAATACTTAATAAATCTAACAAAAAAGGCATGCTCTTTATGAGAAAAGTATATAAATTTATTGAAAACATTAAATGGAAAGATACACCATGTTCATGAACAGGAAAATTCAATTCCATGTAGATGTTGATTTTCCCCAAACTGTAGACTCAAGGGGGTTCTAGTCACAACTCAAAGGGGTTTTTGTTGAATAGAGCTTGGTGGAACTTGACGAGCTGATTCTAAAATGTATATGGAAGAGCACGGGTCAAGGATATAATCCCATGGACGCATACGCGTGGGTAGATAAAATGACCAGTGGGACAAAACAGAAAAAAGTTGTGATATATTCAGTGGATCCCTACACAGCTAGGAAAAGGAGAGCCCTACAGCTGCACGTGCTAATTTGGATAAATCTCAGAAACAGTGAGTGAAAAGGCAAGTCACAGAAGAATAAACATGGTATGATTCCACTTACATAAAATTTAAAAACATGCAAAACCAATACAAACATATATAATAAAATTATGAAGCAGAGCAAGGGAATAATCACCGGAGCACAGCGTTCCCTCTACCGGGGCGGGCGCAGCACGGACTGCGACGGAAGTGGTATCGTTTCTTAATTGGGGATGGGGAGGAGGTGGTTTCTCTTTATTTTATAAATGCTTTCTTGCCTGTCCTCACTATTTAATAAAAGAAAGAGATTCTGGAGGGCGAGGGATAAAGCACCGAAGGAAGAGGAAGTCGGCCGATGCTGAAGTACAGCTCGAAGCGCCCGTTCCTGGGGTTCTGGGAGTTCGGAAACAGAGCCTGCCTTCTGGAATAGCGAAGTCCTAGCAGCTCAAATGATGGTGAGCATGGGCAGGGCCCGTAGGAAGGGTGGGCTTCTCTGAGGGCCCTTGGGGGCCAGCAAGCCTGTCGTGTTCCTGGAGGGCCCCCCGCAGCATCTGCAGACTCATGTAAGCCTATTTTAGTCCAGCCCCTCACCCCAACCCACCCCAGTGCCCCTGAGACCCAAAGCCGCTTTGGACGGGTCCCTGCTGTCAGCCCGATCCCTGCCTTCACGGAGCTGGTGGAGGTCCTCAGTCTCTCCAGGGCTCTGCGGGAGTCTGGCTGCCCCTTGGCCCCGCCTCTGGCAGTGCTTAATTTCAACTTCAAATTCTCTGCTAAGAGAGTAAATGAGCCTCTATCCACTTCCCATCTTTCAAAACGTCACTTTCTCCTTGTAAATTTATATCTTTATTTATTTATTTTACCATTTTAGATTTTAAGAAGAACAGATAAAACCATGGGTTTAAACCTGCCACATTTAACTGGAAGTCTGTTTACTATATTTAAATAAGAATGTTTAGCCAGTAACTCCTAAAGAGTCCAGAGAGGAGGAGCTTAGCCCTCCAAGCACCTTCCTTCATGGATGCTTGAACACCCACAACTGATTTCTCTGCCTTGATTTTTCCTACTCACTTCCTTTGACTGGCAAGGATGAAGGAGAAAGCAGAAAGATCTGAGTTCAAATTCTGCCTGCTCCATTTACTACCCCACGATATTATCGCATCAACTGTCAGGGCTTCGGGTTTTCCCATACGTAATTGCAGCCCCATGTACTGGGTTAGCTAGAGAGAGGTTCAGGGCAATGGTGGAAATGCTTCTAACTATAAAGCACTGACCTGGGAAAGAACTGCGGACTTTCGTACCCTGGGCCACTACATGCTGCCTTGGTCTGCTGGTGCCTCTCCCCCACCCTGCCAAGGCCACAGGAGGCAGAGCTGTGGCTCCCCATGCCCTCAGGCATTCTGTGCCTCCCAGGCTGCTCAACAGGAACCAGAAACAGCAGGCTGGGGAACAGTGAGGGATGAGAAACCCACAAAGATGGAGGGAGGCCAAGAGCCAAGTGGGTGCTTTATTAACCTGGCAAAGGGGCAGGCAGGCTGGCAGAGCAGCCCCTTGCCAGACCTTCCAACTGTCCTTGGGGGCCATCAACAGAGGCAAAGTCACAGGCCCAAGCCCTGGACACCAGGAGTCCATGCTGGGCAGAGCTAAGGCCAAAGACAGGGCTTGTGTTGCCAGAAGCAGGCATTCAGTACCAACCTTAGCCCTGAAGTGAGTCAGGAGCCCGCTCTCCTGCTCCCCATACCCACTCCCTCAACAGCTCTGGTTCTTTCTGGAGTCAAGAAGTCGTGAGTCCCACATCAGCTCTGGTCTGGAAGGTGACCCCATCCCCGGGTAACGGGGAGGCCAGGAAAGGCCAGAGCCAGACGAGGGCCCAGCGGGACCCTAGGGCTGCCTGAAGGTTGTGCCAGGGGCCCAGGTCATAGGAGTGCTGGCCCCGAGCCCACTCCCACGTAGTCTGGCCTCGCAGCAGCAGCATCCCGTGGAAGAGCAGCCCAGCCCCACACAATAGCGCACCAGCCACACACGTGTCAGTCACGAAGGCCAGGGCGAACTGGGCCAGAGACACTCTGCCTGCGAGGAGAGAGCAGAGGGTCAGGGAGCAGCAGCAGGCCCAGCCCTCCTTCCACCCCTTACCCTCCACCCTGAAGCAGATCTCACTCCCCTACTCAGCAGAGTCAGCTATGCCTAGCAGCCCATGCTGGGTGATAGGAACACACTGGCAAACGGTGCAGACACGGCCCCCTGCCCTAGACAGGACTTTCATTCATGCATCACAAACTTACGAGCACCTTGCTTGTGCTGGACACCAGGATGAACACTGATCGCAACCCTGACCTCAGACAGCTCACAGAAACACATTCAAGGGACCATTTCTCAGTTACTTAATCTCAGCTGTGATGTGTGTTACACTGGAAAAGTACAGGGTCTTATACCATCCTGGCCCACAGCAAACAAGTATCTGTTGAACTAACGAACTGCAAGATGCCATGAAAATGGCCAAGTGAGAGAAGCCAGACACAAGGTCGCATACTGTATGATGCCATTTATATGAAATGTCCACTTAGGCCAACCCATGGTGACAGACAGTAAATTAGTGGTTGCCAAAGACTGGCGGATTTGGGGGGAATGGGGAATGGACTGCTTAAAGGGTATAGGTTTCTTTTTGGGGTGATACAAATGTTACAAATACAGGTGATGGTTGCACAACATTGTGAATATACTAAATGCCACTGAATTGTACACCTGAAAGTGGTTAAAATAATGAATATCATGTTACTCAAATTTTACTTCAATAAAAGAGGCAATGTCAGGGGGTGGAGGGTAGTGCCATGCAGACTTTTGTTAAGTGGCCAGGGGATGTGGACTAAATCTATTTTGAGAAGGTTAAGAAGGAATTTGCTAGGTGAAGGGAAAACATTTCTGTTTGAAGATTCCGAGGCAGGAAGGAGAGGCGCCTGCAAGACAAGTGAGTGGGTGGTTCTGGAAGGTCAGGAGAGGAGCCCGGGCTGGATGTGCAGACCTGTGGGAAGTCGGTACATGGGCGGCTCTGAGACCCACCAGAGATCGTGGAGGGAGAGGAGAAGAGCCCCTCACTCTCAGCACCAAGAAACCAGGTCCTTAGGGACCAGATAAAGAAGACAGGGAAGCCAGAAAGGAAAGGGGAAACCCCAAAGTAGGAGCTTCTGGGGATGCCAAGGGCAAAGCCCTTCAGGGAGACTGGCGGTCGGCGTTTCGTGAGGCTGACGGGTCTCATGAAGCAAGGAGAGAACTCAGAAGGGCCTTTGGGTTCCGTGCTGTCGGGACTGCGGCAGTCTCGGAGGAGTGGTGGGGCAGAATCCGGTTTGGAGCAGGAGCAGGAATGGCTGGTAGGCAAGGAAAAGTGGCCCATAAGCACAGCAAGTCCGTTCAGAAGCTTGGCTGCTGGGTGGAGAGGAGCCAGAGGGCAAGAGGAGAGGAGGAGGGTATGGGCGTGAAAAAAGGATCTATGCCAGGCGGGAAACCCGAAGGAGGCCAGCAGAGAGACCCTGGGGAGGCAGGAGGAGAGGCGGCCCCTCAATGTGAGGCCTCCAGCTAGCTGGGCGGAGGGCTGGACGCCAGGAGAGGCCGGGGGCGGTCAGCCTGGCTACAGACTGGAGGACAGGACAGTTCTGCCAGGGCCATCTGATGGCTCGTTTTCTCTGTGACAGATTTTCAAGAGGGGTGAGGGCTTGGAGGACAGGAAAATGGGGTTTGAGCTGCAGTCATTAGGGATGCAAGCTTATGAGAGACCAGGACAACCACACGTGGGTGAGGGCCTGTTAAGGTCAAAATGTGCCATGGTACCAACTGCCACGAAGCGCATGTGTCTCTCAAAGCTCTCAGCAGCCAGGGGCAGACGCAGAGAAGCCAGGGTGCCTTCCAAGATGGAGTGAAGAGGTCTGAGACGTTGGCCAGAAAATGGTGGAAATGAGGGCCCTACTGGATTTGGGGGTGGTGAGGAGGGAAGGTGAGGGCCAGGGGCTCACGGAACAAATGTCATGGAGTGAGAGTGAGAGATGGGCAAGCAGAGGGGAGGTGGGGAGTAGAGAGGGGGACTGACTGATGGGGGGATTTGGGAGGTGACCTGTTCTGGATTCTGACAAGGTCTGGGATACGGCTGTGGGAGTAAGGGAAGGAAATAAGAGAAGGTCAGGAAGCTTAGTGATCGGGGCCTGGGCCATTCACCCATGACTTCAACAAGCCTAGAGCTGGGAGAGATTGGGGGCTGCAGCCACGGCTTCCGTGACTGAGGGGAACAGAGGACCTGGTGCAGCTGGAGGGCTTGCGTCTTGGTGGAGGCAGGGCAGGAGAGGGCTGCTCAGGAAGCCAGGTGGGCTGAGGAAGACACTGCCAACCCCATGGACCTTCCCAAGGCCTGGGGCTGCCGGGAGGGCATCCCTGGGACACAGCCAGGCTTGGATAGGATGAGACGCAGTGACTATTCTGAGTGGTCAGGGAATTTAGTAACTGTAGGACAGGAGAGGTCAGAAGGAAGGAGGGGAGAGAAAGCCCAAAGCATTTTGAGGGGTGACAACAAAGAGTATAAAAGACCAGTGGGGCTTTGAACTTGGGTGGTGTCACAGGAAAGAGGAATACATGTGTCATCTAGAACATGGATGGCCTCTCAGTCAGCCTCCTGCTTCAAGTCTCCCCTCCCAACTTCAAGACTGGCCCTTCCCCTGCCTATATAACTTTCACTGGCTCCCCAGTACCCAGTCAGTGAGGGCTGTCTGCTCACACCAGCATCCAAGCCCTCTACCATCCAGCCCTCACCTACCATCCTACCTTTAATTCCCACAATTGCCATTTAAGGGCCTTTGCTGCTCCCTGCCCAACCTCCAAGCCTTTGCTCATGCTGGTCCCCTCTAGAATGCCCCCCACACTTGGAATACCCCTTCACCACGCCAACCCACCCGACTCCTCAAACTCCCACTCATCTCCTCTTCTGGCAACACCTCCTGGAATCCTTCCCTGAATCTCCCAGCCAGAACTCTACCTGGGTTGAGACCCTGTATTTTACTGTACTTCACACCCCATTGAATACCAGGCTGCTGTCACCCTCCATAACTGTCACTGAGGTGGGTCCCCACAGCCAGGAAAACGAGCCAGAAATCCCATCACCCACCAGAATGACCTACTACAATGCCTTCCATCTCTGCAGAGACTTCCCAGTTCCCCACCTGTAAGCAGCATGAGCCAGGGCAGCAGGAGGAGGGCAGCGGTATGCAGGGGCGTGTGGGCTCGCAGCAGGGCAGACAGGGCAGGGCCCAGCAGCACAGAGACGTGCAGCAGGACACCAGCAGCATGGAGCAGCAGGCACAAGAAGGGCCGGTAGTTGTGGAAGCCCACGCAGTGGCCCAGCAGGCGGCAGTGGTGGTCCCGACGAAGGATACAGATCCTGCAGGCAGAGCAATGCCCACTTCGTGGTGGCACTTGGCTTTGACACTGGTAGCAGTAACTGCAGGGAAGGAAACACAGGGTCAGTCCCCCAGCAGCTCTGAATGCCTGAGTCAGCCCAAGCCCATCCTGGGGAAGCAGGCTCAGTCACTGCCCTCACTAAGCCTCAGGTTCTTCATAGGTAAACCAAGGCTGAACACTTCCCAGGCCCTTCCAGTTCCCACACTGCAGACCTGAGGGTGCTTCCAGCTCTGACCTCTAACTTCCAGGAGCAAACTTCTCACTTCCTGCATGGCCACCACCTGGGTCCCAGTCACCATGAACTCTCCACTGGATTATCCCAATAGCCTCTTGACTGGTCTCTCTGATTCCACTTTTGTCCCCTCTTGTGTAGTCTCACCCCAGCAGCCAGACTGATCTTTAAAGATCTGTCATGTCCTTCCTCTGCTCAGAACCACCCAGTGGCTTTCCATCTCACTTCCAGCAAAAAGCAATGTCCTACAAGGTCTTTCCATTTCTAACCTCTCTCCTCCCCTTCTCTCACTCCACACCAGCCACAGGACCATCTTCCTGTTCCCAGAACATGCTAGGCACATAACTACATCAGAGTCTTTGCACTGTCTGTTCCCTGTGCCTGGAACACTCTTCCCCCAGATTCCCACATGGTTAACTCCCCCACTTCCTTCAAGTGTTTGCTCAAATGCCACCTCAATAAGGCCCACCTTGACCACCTTATTTAAAACTGAAACTCGCACCCCTTTACCCTGCTCTACTTTTGTTTCCATACTACCATCTAACATTCTACATAATTTGTTTATTCATTACGCCCATAGTTTCTCATCTGCTCTCTCGCCCACTAAAATCAGCTCCAGGAGGCCAGGAAACTGTTTTATTGTACCTCCAGTACCTGGAACGGTATCTTGAACATAGTAGGTGCTCAGTAAGTATTTGTAAATGAATGAAGATACTGCTGAATCCAACACCCCAGGTTCTAAAGGAGTTCTCTGGCTCTTAGAAGTGTATCCTATGGCAATCTGGTTCCCGTCCTACGGCCCCTCCCCCTGTCCAAGGCTCCGGCTTCTTCCCCCTCCAGATCCCGCGCCCCACTCACGCCCAGCCCTGGCCCAGCCCGCGACCGGCCAGCATCACGCCCCGGATGCTGGGATCCGAGCGCAGGAAGAGCCCCACGTTGCCCAGCAGGTTGAGTAGTTGAAAGGCGGCCAGCGCCAGCTGAAAAGCCCGAGCCGGGGGTCCGAGAGGGGGCGGCCCGGGGCCCAGCACCAGCACGTAGGCCAACTCCAGGCCCACGGCCGCGGCCCACAGCGCAGTGAGCACGAGGGGCAGCCGCGCGGGCGCCCCCTCGACGCTCCCCGCCACCCAAGAATGCCCCATATCCTGGACCCAGCGGCCGTCGGGTCCGGAGCACCCCGCCGCTTCCGTATTGGGGTGGGGCTAGTACCAGACGGACGTCTGCTACAACCAGTAGAGTCTCTGAAAGGGTGCGCTGAGCGTTCAGAGTCGTCGGTCGCGCCTGCAGAGCAGATATATGATTGGATGGCCTAATGAGCCAAGGAGATGCTTGGAACATGTTGGCTCTAGAGTCTGATAGGGCTGTGGATTCATAGCCCCGCCTTCCCGAGGCCCGCCCCTCCTCAGCGGCCCTCCCCTCCGGTCCCCCTCGGCTGGCGCCGGGATTGAGTGGCCACCTCGGCGGCCTCCAGGTTTCCCGGCTCAGCACGTTCCCCCTCGGCCCCGGCTGCCCCGATATTAATAGCCCTGCATTGGCGCATCTAGCTGTCCTGGAACCCCTCCCCATGCTCTAGTTTCTTCCTTCTTCACCACAGAAAACATTCAGAAAAGTCTGGCGCCTTGATGTTTCTGACCGTGAAATGGCGATAGGCTCCCTTTTCCCTCCTGACGCGGGAAGGGAGCCAGGTGGAGGCGCAAAGGGCAGCTTCTAGGGCTGCCTTACAGCCGCTATTATTATCATCTCGGCTGTACATGCGAGGAAACAGACTCAGAGAGGGCCCGCGGCTTTCCCAAGGTCACACAGCGCCCAGCCGGTGGAGCCGGAGCGGGAACTCCCGAACTCAGCCCCGGGATCCACCCCCGCGTCCCTGCACTCCCTGGACGCCAGGGCGAACTCCTCCCTGGTCCTGACCAGGGAGCCCTCGCCCCCATCCGGCCCCTCCCTCTTCCCCCATATTTAGCGCGAATCCGATCCGGGGCTGGGCCGGTCGCTACTTAACGCGGTCCCCGGGTTCTGAAGCGCGCCGAGCGGAGCGGAGCCAGGAGCCTACCGAGATGATGATGGTCCTGCAGCCCGAGAGTCTGGGGGTCGGGGCAGCGCCCTTCGCGGGGGGCGGCGGGGGCGGCGAGTACATGGAACAGGAGGAGGACTGGGATCGCGACCTGCTG